TGATAATGGTCTGGATTACAGTATTTGGAAATTTAAAATTTTGTTGACAGGGTTTAGTCCATTATCAGAAACAAATTGAAAAACAAGCACAAGATTCCAACAAATTGACACTTTACAAGATAAAAGGACAGTCTTTCTAGCTACAGTGACAAAATAACATTCTGATTTTGGGAAGTGGATCAGGCTACAAATTTTTCAGCACCCTGTTGTGTGAATGTGTATTGTGCTTTATACACGTGAAAAAATCTTTTGATAGGCATGACATTTAAAATGGAATAGAAAAAAACATAGTGAGATATTTCTATTGAAGTTCAAGCCAAGAATCTTAGGACATGCAGAAAATACAAGAAAATATACAAATATAGATAATTAGGAAAATAAGTTTTATTGAAAGTTCTGACCAAACAAATTGTAAATAAATGTTGAGAATAAAGAATTGACAAAATGAATGCAAAAGTAATTCTGGGATCACACAAGTCATGAAAATATTAATTCTTTATTCAAGGTTTAATTGTTTAATTTGTTCCATCCTAATTGTAAAAAATAAATATTTCTGATGAAGAGAGTCCAGATAAAAAAGGCTAAGATCATGAAGGTCAATGTTTCAATTTTTGAGCTACTTGAAAAAAAATTTAAAAAAAATTTGAGTCAACTCACAAATTTGGCTGCTTACTTGCTTTAAACCCACAAATGAATTTTTCCCTTTTAGGTATCATGAACTTTAACGCTTGAAACTATTTTCAGAAACAAAATAAAAATGATTTTTGTCTTGTTCCAACCAAAAATGTATGTTCTATGTGCATCAAGGATCCATTAAAGGATCCTCAAGAAATTTTGACATTGCCTCAGAGATGAAAAATAGTCTTTGCTTCAAGACTGTCAAATTTTATTAGTCCCCATAATGTGAATGCACACAAAATCTATAGAATGTCTGTGGAAATGGGGCAAAAAAGAAATTAAGAAACTAAAATGGTATGAGTCAAGAATACGATGGCAGAAGGAAAAAAATTTACACATGGGATATTTTTTTCTCACTTCTCTCAGTTTATTAAACTCAATTATTAATTTTTTAATGTCCTGTTCCTATAAGGCCCTGTTTCTATAATATTGATGAATGAAAATATATTTTGAATGGTATTTTTTATTTTATTTCTGAAATTAATTTTGGATATGAAAGTTCATGTTTAGCTTTCTTTTAATTCATATATTAGCACCAATTAATTTTTTTTTTTTTTTTAGTTTTTAATGGATTCTATTTTTTTTTTTTACATGATTTTTACATTGAATTTTTTAAATGCAATCAGTTGGAAACAGTTTCAGCCAATTTATGTCAACAATTAATATCAAATAATTGAAATCTTATTATCAATTCCAAAGCTCAATAAAGAAAACAAAAAAATCTCAGGTATTAAGTGCCTGATCAACAATATTTTTAGTTATAAAAGTGTACAACTTGCAAACCATCCAGAATTATTTGAAACTGTCAAATCAAATTTATTTTGAGATTCAAGGTCAGATTCGTCCTTTTCTTCTTCATCGTCATCGTCATCATCATCATCTGTATATTCCGACTCTGTTCCTGAATCAGCACCAGTCATACTCAGTTTGGGAAGATAACGTGCAGGAACAACACTCAAGTCTTCAGGAATCCTGCAGGGGCAGAAACACAAACAAAATAAGAATAAAAGACTTTCATGAAAGTTCTAATTAAAAACGTTTATTTGAATGAAAAAAAATCAGATTATGTAGCCACACTGGTGGCAGGCTATATTGTGGATAGGAAGTTTTCCAAGTGACAAAACTCTGCCTGCCTAGGAAAATCAGCATGTGAAATCATCTGGCCTTTAATATTTAATTGAATTTGGTTGTATCAAATAATGTTCAGTCTTCAGAATTTAATTTACCAAGATTACAGGTAAAACCAAAAAAAAAGAAACCAGAGGCAAAAAAAAAACAAGAAAAATCTCAGATCCCCACATGTGTAACAAGATAACTCAAATGTATACAAAGATATATGATGGTTATTTGACCAGAGAGTTGTTAATTCTAAAATCCCAAACAATATTTGAATGATCACTTAGGAAGATTTGTAAGTTACAAGCATTTTACCTCTGATATAGTGAATGTTTACATATATGCATGGGAACCCGGTCTCCTTAAATAAATAGGGTTTCTCTTGTCTTTTTAATTTAGCCTTCCACTGACCAGAGGACACAACAAGAAGACAGTTTCAGTATTACCATTCCATCCATCCATGTTATCTTGCAATAATTATGGCAAATACCACAAAAAAGGGTTTACAGACAGAAACTGGTGATTATTAGCCTTTTCTTTATTTTTATTAACACTGAAAATTGTATTAGAATGACTTGTTTGTGTGTCTGTTACCATAACACAGCAAAAAATGGCACATCATAACACAATTTTTGTAAGCACAATCATTTTAAAATTTTCCATCTTAAAAAAAATCTTCACTGCCAGCAGCTATTGTGGCATACCAGTGACAATTCCTTATGAACAATTAACAATAATAATTAAACTTAGTGATAATTAACAATTGTAAATAATCATAAACTCTATAAAAAGGAAGTGACAGCAAGTGAAGGATACCAAAAATGGTATTTAAACAAGTGCATATAAAATACAAATTCTACAAATTACGCATTCTCCATAATGTTGTTTATCTACAATTAAACAATTTTTCCGTTTGTATCAATTAGGGTAATTTGTTGTTCTTATATGCTGCAGAAACAAAAAAGAAACAGCTAAAATTAAAGGTGGATCATGTAATCTCTTCATGCAAAAATATGAGCCTATAATCCCATACCTATAATCCCATACCTATTTGCTAAAATATAATCAGTGTGCAAACTTAAGGGGGCAAATAGATCTAGAATCATTAAATTTGATTTTATCATAATTTTTTATCTCTAAATGTTTCATTAAAATTCTATAATTTTAGCACATATAAAAGGAAGTCGGTCCATAAAATATTCAACTTTTTAGAATACAGTTGCAGTACATTGATGTAATTTGTAAACCAATCAAAGGGGACCTTACTATTCATGCATGAACAAACATTCTCCCATGGAGTTATTCAGTTGGCAGTGAAGCACCATTGAGTGGGTTTGCATATTGCATTATTGTTGCATTCACAGCAGATATGCATCAACTTTTGCTCAAAGCTTGGACATTTGTTTGGGGAAACAATTCAAATAATTAAGGTGACTTTCAGGAATCAACAGAATGAATGAAATCCAGATAACATTTTGGTACCAACACTTGGCCAGGAATCCATTGAAAGTAGAAAGCCACCAACAAATACAGCATGTGAAAAAATTGCACAACTGTTGGCAGCAATCAAAGAAAATCAACAGTTGACTTAACAATAATTAAGTCTGGCAATTCCACAGACTGCTTAAAAATTATCCAGCCATCTTGAAACTGCTTATTCTGTATATGTTGTGTAGGGATTTTTTCACAAAACATTGCATTATCCACAACTCTTATCTCTTTTCTGACCGTGGACGAGATTAAGGAGAGCATAATGAAGCAGATGATAACACCTCCGAAAATTGTTATGAAAAGTGGGAGTGACAATATATGAAATGTGTGAGTTTTCAAGAGGAGTACATCAGAAGGGACTCAGGTGCAATTGCCATAGGTAGGTTACTTTTTTTGTTAATATTAAACAGCTGGATTATTTCCAGACAGACCTAGAATAGAAGCAAATTGGGTTTCATTACTAGAATAATGCATTGGTAATTTTGCTCTTACATGGCAAAGATTATGAGTTTTCCACAATAAAAACAAAAAGATCTTTATGCATTTTGTATAAACAAGGAACAAAGCATTTTTGGCACTTAAAGAAATACTATAAATATATTCACCCACCTCCATATGTATATGGGGTGGGTGACATAATTACCAAACTTCACAATGCACAAACCCAAATGAGACAAAACTAGTTTGACATTTTTCCATTTTTAAATTAAAACAGAAACGACAAGTGGCAGAAAAATACATTTGCTCAAAATATATTTACCCCCATGCAGAATATCAGCAAAAGTGTCAAATCATTTTAAGGAATAGAAAATTGATGTTTCTCAACTGCAGGGTGTCAAGTGCAATTTTGCAGATGACTAAATGGCCTTTTGATTTAATTGGTTAACAATTGTCAATAGAAATAACTAAATTAACTGTATAAAAAGCCCATGGTACCTAATGTGGAGGGCATGATCAACAGAGGAGCAATTTGAGAATGAGTTATTAACAGTGAATTGTTTTTTTTTTTTTATAGTGAGTCTGCATACATAAAAATATTTGCATGTATGTATGTACATGCATAATTATGTATGCACTGTATAATTATATATATATATATATATATATATATATATATATATATATAATTTTTCTAACAATTTCTTAATAATTACTTCCTCATTACTTTAACTGTCCTTTCATTCTTTTATTTTTCACTTTCATGGATGCCATGTCCTTTGGGAGCTTATTTAGACTAAGTTAATGGCCTTTTCCCCCAAGTCAATAGGAGTTCACTTTTTGAATAATAAAAATTATATATCACAAGTTCATCAGGATTTTAGAGATGCTTAGGTGGGGAGCATGACCCCCCCCACCACCAAAAAAAAAGGTTGGGAACCACTGATATATCCAGTTAATGAATGTTTTTATCCATTAGTTTGTGTCAATTCATGAAAAACTAAAACAAATCAACCTGCAATTCTATAAAATACAATGTGACATCATATATTAATCAGTCATGCTACCTGAACTTCTCTACCTACTAATGAAATATGCCATTGTTATAGTAACAGAAAACATATGATATGCAAATGTAGCACCATATTACCATAAGAACGAAATATCTCATTTGCAAGTTATGAAAACTTTTTAGTTCAGCTGTTTCCTTTGGATATCTCATAGAAATATACTTGTAATATTTAATATTTGGATAATTTCTCTTTTAAAGAGGATAATGGCCATATCAAGTTGAAACACTGGTTCTCATACAATCACCAAAGTTAAGCAATGTCAAGCCTGATCAGTACTTAGATGGGTGACCAGATGGAATAACCAGGTGCTGTAAGCTTGGATGTGTGGGTGGTGTAATGGATAATGGCTTGGAATTGTTAATCAGAGAGCCATGTGCTGACGACTAGCATTCACATTTCATGTTGTCAGATTTTACAACTGAGGGGATAAAACCTGACCGGATAAAAATGAGATGATTAATGGAGAAGGGAAGAAGCACAAACCCACCACATATCAAAAGCCATGACTACTAGATATGCTATGTATATTGGCCATTGTCAAGGTTTACAATAGGTGTAACAACTTTTTTTGCTTTTATTAGTGCCTTGGCAGTAGTTATGAGAAAGGGATTTGTCCAATGCTCACTTATTCTCTGCCATCAATTTTTATAATATGCCAAAAATGAGATGGAATCAAGTGAAGGAAGACGTGGGTTTATGCCTTTTAAATAAATATAGCAGTCTGAACTAGAATTTTAACCCAGTTTAATGATTCTGTTTTCAATCAAGTCAACTAACACATTACCAACAAAATTGCTTACCTGATGGGAATAGTGAGATCAGCTGTTTCCTTATAAGGAAACATTTGGTATTTATTGACCTAACAGTTAGCACTACTGTCGGTTGAAATAAATACAATCTTTCCCATAAAACAGTTTTTCAGGAAAACAGAATTCTCAAGCCCACTATTTCCCAGTTTTCCTTCCTAACCTTTTGTTCAAGGTTGTGCAGAAAATCAACATCATGATTGATACAAGTGATGTGGTTTTTGTTATTTGGTAAAATTCTTTAATTGTAATTCTGTAGCACCATTTTGTGAGAACTGATGAGGGAGGCTCTTAAAAAAGTCATTTTTAATCATTAATCTGAGGAAATGGTTGCATACCGCTGATAGTTTAGATATTTCTGAAGGAATCAGACGCAATATATGACATCCACATGAGCGTCTAAATTTGATGAGGCTAGTTAAGAACTTGATTTGAGTTCTTAGATTTAATATTTTTGTTTTAATTTGCAAAGTTGGGCAAAACATACCCTAACATAGTTTATTCTGCACTCAATTTCTTTATCTCCTATAATAAATTTGTTATAACTGAGTCATACACCCAGGTATTTGGTATTTATTAATTCTCAATTCCTTTAATTAAGACAACCATCTTGATGGGTAAAATTGCTCTATTCCTGCAGTATCTCAATTAATACAAATGTGTATCCAAGTTGTTTTTACATTGGTGTACATAAGGTAGTGAAGGAAAGTGGAACAGAGAGACTAAACATCAATTACAAGAAGACAGAATGTTGTTCTACAGAAGGATGCTGAGAATATCATGGATCAAACATGTGAGAAACGTTGAAATTTTAGAGAAAATGGAAACAAAATGCACACTTATACTTAACATGAAGATGAAACAGTTGAAATTTCTTAAAATTTTAATGAGGAAAGAAGGCTTGGAAAATTTGATACTCATAGGATAGAACCTAGCAATTTTGAGTAAATGGATGGCAGAACAAATTTTAGGAGAGATAACAAAAAGACAAAATTTATTAAGAGTTACAAAAGATAGGAAATTATGGAGAGCCATGACTACCAACGTTCTGAATGGATATGGCAAGAAGAAGATTGTATTCATTTGTCAGTATTTACAAACAAAATAGTCTTTTTAAAAATGTAGTTTATACCAATTGTACTATTTTAGGACTCACAATAAACTGGCAACAAAATCATTTTTTTATTAAATTGTAAGCCTCAGCCAACAACAAACATTTTTGTCTTCAGTCAGGGGAAGTGGCGGGGGGGGCGCAAAGCTAGGAATGTTAATAGCATAACAGAAATGTTCAGTGAAGGAAACACACATCAAGTATTTTTGGTGAGTTTGTCAAAACATTCCATGAACAACAACTAAATCATATTTACATCAGAAAGAAATTTTCTTTTGAAGGACAAAACGAGTGACATGCATAGCTTACGATGCATAACAATGACAAGATTTTGCAAATAATTACAGATAAAATGAAATGTAAACATGACACTTAATAAGAAAAGATAATTACACAAGCAGTAGAGGCAAGAAGATTTTCTCAAATGCAAGGAATGAGTGTTGACTGAAGTATTACACACTTAAATGCTGACATTAGCAGCCTTTACATCATTTTGAGACACTCTCCATTTATAGAATGTATAGTGTAATTATTTGCAAATATTCCTTATCACTAAAATTATCATTATTATTATTGCTTAATATTATTAAACTATCATTACTGGTATGCCACAGTCACTGCTGAAAAGGAGTGAAGAATATATCAAGGGAAATAACTCTGTAATTAGCAGTTAATAGACTTGGAGTTATCTCTCTTGAGCATACATTTTTTTTTTTTGTTTGTTTGGAGGTCAATTTTTACATAATTAAAACTTACTTAGAAGCTGGTGGCCCACTTGAACTTGAAGTTATTTTTATTGTCCTAGACAGAAATTTTATAGCACTATTTACATTATTCTATATTGTCCTCATCTTTGTTACCATATTTTATTATGTTTCGGCTGTTTTATCCAGCCTTCTTCAGGTGGTTAGAATGTAGAAGAAGGCCAGGCATACAACAGCTGTGTAATAAAATGGTAACAAGATGAGATGACAATAATCTGAATAATGTAAATGAATGTACATAATACTTCATCTCAGAAATATAGACAGAAAATTTATAGCAGTATTGTGCTAACAAAATTGTTCTATGATGTGCTTTTTTTGCTGAGTTATGGTAACAGAAATTGGATCATTATAATAGTAATGGTAATTGGAAATCTGTTTTTTCATTATTTCTTTCTTAGTCAGGACTGTGCAAATGACATTTCTCTCTCATGCACCAAATCGAAATCCTCCTTCATCTTTGTGAAAATATAAAATTAATCTTAATTACAAACATTCATGAACATAATCTTTCAGAAATATTTTTATTTTTTTAATTTACAACCTTTCTGTAATCACTGCTTGATACCTTCTATAATCAATCATTCAATCAATAAGATTTTCTTTGCCAAACAATTGTCTCCCATGTTGATCTCTCAAAAATAGACAACATTACCTGACATTTAATAGTCTATAAATGCTGGAAACAGGAAAAACAAATAGAAAATAATTTGCTTGATAAAGGTTATCAAACCTCAAAATATTTAAAGATAAATGCACTTTTAGAATGAGGCAGGATGAAGAAGCAAGTCATTAATTAATGATACTTTAGGCCCAGCAATAAAGAAAAGTAGATAAAGTCAAAATTAAGATATTTTTACTTCTTACATCACTGTAAAAGATGTACATTAGCAACAAGACAGAATACCAAAAAGTACTTCATAGTATGTGTCATATAACATAGGTTTATTTCAGCATACAAATTACTTAAAAGTGTAGTAAGTACTAATAATTGACCAATAACATTTTCAACAGAACTTACCAAAGATAATAACATAAAGAACAGAACCATTGTTTTTATTAAGAGACTAGAATATTTGTAAAGAAAAACTTTAAAAATATGTATAAATTAAGATTTTACCAAACAAACTAGACAGATTATCAGAATATATTCAGTTAATAGGTTTTAGACAAAATAAAAATGTCTTTTTGGAAATTATTAACAAGATACATTATCCTGACTAAGTGGGTACCAACTTGAAGTAAAATTTAAGTAGCTTATAATTTACACAGAAAGATTAAAATTACACTGCATTTAAAACATGAAATTTTTAATCTGTAAAGTTTCAGATTTTAAGTATGTATGGCTATTAAGTTTTATACTCTTCAAGTAACACATTTTAAAATGAAGTCTGGTATTTTTTTGTGAAATATCTACATGCATTTTGTGTCTACTATGATGTTTGTGCATGAGGTATAAGTACAAGGTAAACATATCAATTAGTTTGTCAGAGTCCAAGTAGTCTGCATGATGAGTAACAACTAAATGTAACTGTCTAAATCTTCTTAAATCTCATAGATTTCCTGTCATCATAATAGACTGTATTCATAAGAAGAAACTGGAGAAAAAAATCAAAACAAAAATTTTATCAATTCTGGATTAGAAAAATTTTAGATTTTTATGTTTCATTTCTTTTCTTTTTCTTTCCTTTTTATTTGTGGATGAGGAGAATAGTTTTACATGGTCAAATTTTCATCACCTCAACTTTTCACAAGGCTGAAATTTTTTCTTCACATTAATATTTGGCTATAATCATGTAATCTATAACTACAGCATTCCTTATCACATGGAAAAACAGGTGTGAATGGAGTGGTGTGTGGAAGTGAGATAGAGTCAGTTTTGCATTTCTTCATTTCCAAAACTTTAACCACACATCACCCAACTAGAAAACTCAATGTGAACTAAATAGGAAGCATATGCTTTTTGGTATTAAAGTTACTAAATGGTCAACAAAACAACCACAAAATGGCAGAATTGCCTCAGTTTTATTAAAACGATGACATTGTCTTATTTTTTTTTTTATCATTTGATGCTAACAGCAGGTATTTTCTAATCATAATTGGGAATGACTGGAAAACACTTTTCCCCTCCCCAATTTATCAGCAAAAACCACACAAATACATGCTGGGATTTCTTCCTAACCAATAAGATGACCCACTTCTCGGTCTCATCTGACTCAGTCTGGATCTGCCAATTCAGGCAGTTTGGGCTGACTTGTCAAATTCTCTGCCTTCGGGCAGAGAGGAACCCAGACGGGACTAAGCCGAATAGCAGAGTCATGTCTAGGGAGGTAGACAAGCCCAACCCCATGTATACAGGGAATTTCTATGAGCTCAGATTTGTCCCCCCCCCAAATGGCCTTGTGCCACATCCTGCTTTGTGGGGAGGCAAGGTAAATAACCTCAGTCCCGGTCTGTTTTGTCTTGAAGCCAGAACACTACGTTCGTTTATCCAAATTTGTTCTTGTTTGTCAACACTAATTGTTAATTTGTGAACTTTTTGTGATATTACTCTTTTTTATTATTGTTGCTTTATCTTGCATATTTTATTTTGATTGCTTAATATTATTGTTTATCATGTTCTTTACTTTTCTT